ACTATTATTTAAAAAAGATTAGCTAGGTTTGACTCTAGAGAACTGCTGGTTACAATAATTAATAACTCTCTTCAGTTATGAGGCGTATAATTAATAACGCCTCCTAACTGAACTCTGATACGTTGTACCAGTGTTGGGGAAAGTTACTTTTAAAAGTAATGCATTACAATATTGCGTTACTTCCTAAAAAAGTAACTAATTACGTTACTTAGTTACTTTTTATTGAAAGTAATGTGTTACGTTACTTTTGCGTTACTTTTTAAATCTGGACAGGGCTTGCTCGTTTGCTTTTAATATAAAAAGTTCTACTTTTGGCAAATATAAAAGCCCTTTCACACCAAAAGCCTCAGGCTGAAGGAAAAGCAAATTCACGTCTGTAGAGTAGAACACAGAAGAAGAAAGTTCAACACTCTTCAGCAATGAAAGAAGAAGAAATGTTAGGTTATCTTGTGTAATTTGTGCTTATTAGTATGCTTGAATTGCATCACCGAAGGTCAGCAGTAAATTGGTTAATAAAATAGGATTAAATACATAAAGGATATTTGTATTATTTAGCATATTTAATTATTGCAGCTTTGAGTCATATTCTGAGTTGCTTTTAAATGTTTTTATTAATTGTGAGGAAAACTAAATCTGATTTGTTTTGTGTGAGTGAGATGAATTAAAGCATGTTCACATTTATTCTAGAACTAAAGTAACATCTTACTCCCGATTTCTCTCAGCAAGGGGACAGGAGAGCTTTCAATCAATAAATGGGGGGGAAAAGTAACTTGCGTCACTTATTTGAAAAAGTAACTCAGATATTTTCTTGTAAATTAAAGAGTAATGCGTTACTTTACTCGTTACTTGAAAAAAGTAATCTGATTACGTAACTCGCGTTACTTGTAATGCGTTACCCCCAACACCGCGTTGTAGGGTGTGTATAAACGCATGTAGTAACATGCTATTTTTGTACACGTGTTATTTATTTCAGTAGTTCTCTGCGTACATTATAATAGACTACAGAGCTCGACAGCGACAGAAAGCAGAACTGTTGTAATGCTCCGTTCTGAACATCACGGCATGCTGCTGCTGTGGGCAGGACAGTGTCTCTTTCCGATCAGCGATTGGTCAGAATGGAGGGGCGTCTCCACGCACTCGATCCTCATTGGTCATCCCGCTCTGAATCGGGATCTCTTATTGGCTACTGTATCTGTCGCTCAGCGGATTCATGCGCAGTGCTGAAGGGAGGAGGGAGTAATGCGTTACTTTACTCGTTACTTGAAAAAAGTAATCTGATTACGTAACTCGCGTTACTTGTAATGCGTTACCCCAACACCGCGTTGTAGGGTGTGTATAAACGCATGTAGTAACATGCTATTTTTGTACACGTGTTATTTATTTCAGTAGTTCTCTGCGTACATTATAATAGACTACAGAGCTCGACAGCGACAGAAAGCAGAACTGTTGTAATGCTCCGTTCTGAACATCACGCATGCTGCTGCTGTGGGCAGGACAGTGTCTCTTTCCGATCAGTGATTGGTCAGAATGGAGGGGCGTCTCCACGCACTCGATCCTCATTGGTCATCCCGCTCTGAATCGGGATCTCTTATTGGCTACTGTATCTGTCGCTCAGCGGATTCATGCGCAGTGCTGAAGGGAGGAGGAAACAGCAGTGAGTCGCAGCTAACAGGCTAGTGTTCGCTATAGGTGAGTACACATATTATCAGCGATAAACCCACATTTCCAACGGATTTTGTCCATATTAACTCAATGATCCGTTACACATTTAATGTCAGCTGAGAGTATGTTAGCCGCAGGGTTCGTGAGTGCGCTGAGTGTGTTTAATCAGGCGCGTTGAGCTAGCTGAGGCCTGCTGCAGCTCGTGGCGGCGCGGGAAACTCTCGTATAAGTGCACGTGCACATGTGCGTTTCCAAAAATAAAACCCGCAGCAGCTCATGAATGCACACATCGCGACAGAATAGCGATAGTGTTGAGTGTTGTGTGAAGTTTTTGTGTGAAAATGCATGATGAGGCCCAGTGTTGAGGTCCTGCGGCTGTGGAGCATTACCATGTGACTTTCCTTCAGTCATGTGTCATTTAACAGCTATACATCTCTAAACGCATGCATTGATCATGCATATTTCATATGCATACTGCGCTAATGTATTCCTGATGAAAGCAGTTTCGCTCATGTAGGCTGATACGTGATCTGGTGATTTGTACAGTTGTTAAACCGTTGTGTAGGTGCTTTGCCCTTCATGAAACCTCTTTAAATACAGTGATGAGTGTTTAAAGTTTTTATTTTTTTAACTGTGTAAACCCTGTTAATTGTGTTAGACTTTAAGGTCTTCAGCAGTAGTGTTGGTGCTAGGACACGTGCCATCAGCATTGCCTTTTACAGTAGATGCTTTAGTTTTTAGATTTTTATGTCTGTTTGGATTGTTTCCATTAAAATAATCAAGTTATTACTGGGTGTCATAAATGTGCTTGCAAGCTCACACTACAAAGTTCAATTCCAGTGATTGTCCCTTTTTTTTTTTTTGTGGAATGAAAGAAAACTTAGACGGCATGATATATGAATACAGAGATTGCAAATATAGGAACCCTTTTAAAATTGCAATGAAAATGTCACAATGAAAATAAACCTAAACTTAGACTCCCCATGTAAAGATATTTGGTAGTGCTTGCTTGTCTTTACCCCATGAGCTTACACTGTGTTGAACAGTGAGCACTCTGTGGTTAGCATGAATGAAAGCAGAGTTTGTGGCTCTGTCTCCACAGATAATGGACATGAGTGCCAGCGAGTGCTTTGGATGTGGCCGCTCTGGACACTGGATCAAGAACTGTCCTAATGCTGGTCGAGGTCGTGGCCGGGGCCGGGGACGAGGAAAGGGTAGGGCTTCTCCAGTTATTCAAACAGCGCTGCTTCGAGACAGAAGCACTCTAACTAAGCTCTTTCTCTGTAGATCTGTTCTGTTACAGGTGTGGAGAGCAGGGCCACATTGCGAGAGATTGCGAACAGACTGAGGATGGTAAAGACGCTCTGTCTCACTGCACTCTGTTGCATTGTTGGTAATCTACATTGTTTATTAAAGCTTTCTCCTGCTTCAAATACAGCATGCTACAATTGCCACAGGAGTGGCCATATTTCCAGAGACTGCAAAGAACCCAAGAAGGAGAGAGAGCAGTGTTGCTATAACTGTGGCAAAGCCGGTCATGTGGCACGCGACTGTGACCACGGCAACGAGCAGAAGTGCTACTCCTGCGGGGGGTTCGGACACATCCAGAAGCTATGTGACAAGGTCAAATGTTACCGGTAAGTCCCATCGGAGCTTGACGTGTAAAGAAATCGTTCACCCCAAAATAAAAAATGTTTAATAATAAGGTTGTTTTGTGCATAGTAACCGAACGCAATGCACTGTGTGAGTGCGTGCTACAGATGTTGTCATTATAGACTTGTGCTTCTTTAAAAACTTTTGGGTTCAACAGGAAAAATAGCTTACACGTTTTTAATGGCATGGCGACATGAATGAGGGTAAATGATACAGTTTATATTTCGGGGTAAATGACTACTACTTTTTAAGACCATGAAGTACAGAACCGAAGGCTTTGAGTTCAGCGGGAAACTAAAATGCATGTTGGTTTGCAGGTGTGGTGAGATCGGTCACGTGGCAGTGCAGTGCAGCAAGGCGACTGAGGTGAACTGCTACAACTGCGGCAAGACCGGTCACCTGGCGAGAGAATGCACCATTGAAGCGTCTGCGTAACTTCCTTCCTCTGTCGCCCCTCCTTTCCTGATTGATGGTTGTTTCTCTTCTCTGAATCCTCTTCATTGGCCAAAGGCTGGCAAACAGAGGCCTTTCCCAGGCCAGTGAGCAGCTTTGAGTTTTGTTTTTCCTTTGTTATGCAGAAAAGGGGTAAAAAGAAAAATCATATTGCGTTTAAAACGAAATGTTTATTTAGGTAGAGGTGTAATGAATGATACTTTGTTAAGGGACCCCTTTCCATGCCATTGGTGAAAAGATCCATTACTGGGACATCCCGCGCCACAGGGAACCTCTGGGCTCACGGAAGTGAACCTTAGATCAAGTGTAAGAGAGAAGTCAGGCGAAGGCTCAATTCTGGTGTTTTGTTTTGTGGTTCTATGGAGAAAAGTGAAAGAAGACCATTATCATCGCAGGAAGTCCATTATGATCTGGTGCCCACTAGCAGCTCACAGCAGAGTGTTGTGCGTATACAAGGAAATGTTATATTGGTATATTTGAATTAATTTGACTTCCAGAAATCATACATTTTGAGTCTGTATTTTTATTCAGTTTGACTTTTTTTCTAAAAAGTCCAGTTTGAGGGTTCAGCAAACAGTGCTTGTTAATGCTGAACACTACAGAGTAATTTTAGTCCTTTCTACCTTAAATTATCCAGTACAATAGAGAGACGTGAAATTAGCAACAATTAGCAAAAAAGAATGTTTTCACAGAAATCAGATATTTTTGTACAATATCCCTTGGACTACTGTAAGAATATCATTGCTTGTACTCAGTTTTTAAGTCGGAAGGAAATTGCAACTTAAGTCCTAGAACATAGATATGTAATTTTAAACTGTCAATAAAGTTGGAGGATGAGGAATTTGCCTGCATTCATGATTTTTATTGTTTAGAAAAATATGAAATAGTTGAGTTCCATTCCAAGGAGGTGTTTGCCATTTTTTTTAATATATATATATATAATATACTTTTTTTTTTAACTCAACTGTTTATTCAATGATATGTGCAGATACATCAGACACAGTTGGCCCATGTAGTAGTAAACATGCACTGAAAGGATTAGTACACATTTAAACAGGACAGAAGCAAAGAGAGACTTTTGCATCTAAACTCATCAGGCTAAAAGTACTTAAACACCAAACAGGTGTTGTTGCAGACAAACGGTCTGTTCAAATTAAGAGCAAAACATATCTAATTGCATAGCAAATTCATGCTCTGCCATCTAGAAATTAGGGAAGCATTTCAACTGCAATTTCTAGTCATTGCAGTTTTTAATTTAGCAAATTAATGTACAATTATTTGCAGATATCTAAACTTCCAGCAGAAAAAAACGTACTTAAGATCCATGCTTAAGCAGTCTTCTGTTATTGTTGCAAAGAGATGGCTAAGATAAAGAGGGTATGGGTGATTGCATATGCAGTCCTGCGGCACAAGTTTTGAATTGCCGGATGCTGGAGGAAGAAATGATTCACGAGACTCCAGCAAAGTATAAATGCCTAAAAAATAAAAAAAAATGTACTCAAATGTATGTAATGTCTATAACATACAGATTTTTATTTGTGTTATTGGTTTATTGAGCAACAGTTAGTAAATGTTACAGGTGCAGGGCTGTCTTGCGGGACAAAATATAAAAAACATCCTGCTTTTGTGAAGCAGTCTAGCAGCATTTTACTTTAACTACTTCAGAAAAGTACAAGTACTTTAAAATGTAATGCATTTTTTTTCTTTTGCTGGAACTGGCCTTCAGCTTTAAATATGAGGTCTTGAAAGTGTTGCATAAAAGGAGTCAGAGATTGTTTTAGATGCATCACATTGAAACACCCGTTGCAGGACAAGAAGACAAAGGGCTGTGGCAAACTTGGGACAGCAGCGTTCATCTGAGCCAACAGCTACCCAGCTAATAAGCCAGCATTAAGCAATTCTTGTGGGAAGACAGACATTTAACAAAAGTCTGACATTCATCTTCGCAGAAACAGGTGCATCAAACCAAATTCTTTGATGCATGCAAATTAAAGCAGATGATGGCCATTTTTTTAAGCAGTAGTAAATTACAAGTCATCTTTTTAAATAATTTGCAAATTGGCCTTGAGGAAATATAAAACCTCATATTGTCAGCGTAACAGTGAAAACCAGCTCCAAGTTTCTTGATATCTCCAAAACTGTAGCATAAACAAGGTGAACAGCAAGGATTCTAGTACTGAGCCTTGTGGCACTCCATTCTGATCTTGTGACTGATATATGACACCTCTTCATTTATTACTACAATTATAAATACAGTCAGACAAATACATTTTAAACCATGCTGATGCAATTCCACTAATGCCAGCATAATTTTCAAGAGAGTGTTGTGGTAAATAGTATCAAAAGCAGTGCTGAGTGCATAGTATCATTCCCTTTTAAAGTGCAAAGTACTTCTCATTTCTTATTTGTGCATCCTTGTTTTCTCTCCACCCCCCTTAGAATGTGAGGGAAGGATGCAAGGAAAGAAAATGAGGACAGAGGAATCGCAGGAAAGATTATTTATACATATATCAAGCTTCACTTCAAAGTGTCATCAGCTGAGCTCAGGGGATCTGCCCTTATGTTGTTAAAGTTGGGTTAAGACATTTATAATAATTATTAACAAAGCAAGATGCCCTGTAGATATTTATAACTGCAAAGGTAAAACATAAATTAAAATTATGTCAGATGTGAAGGGGGAGGAGAATTTATACACGCGCCAGGTTTTTCAACAAGAAAGACATCCGCATTGGATACACCTGTGTATCCTCGCTTATGGCTCCTCTGGAAGGACACTTCTTACATCCAAAGGCACAGGAAGAACTGGCATGTGAATTTGGTTAGTCCACCTGTTGTGTTATTCATATGAGGTCAAATACCACCCTGTGAAATACAAGTCAAGTCAAGTCACCTTTATTTATATAGCGCTTTTGACAATACAGATTGTGTCAAAGTAACTGTTACAGTATTTAATAGGAAAATAGTGTGTCAATAATGCAAAATGACAAAAGTAAACACTCATTTTTCAATTAAAGGCAGTTCATCATTGAATTCAGTGATGTCAACATCCAGCTCAGTTCAGTTTAAATAGTATCTTTGCAATCAAGTCGACGATATCGCTGGAAATGAAGTGTCCCCAACTAAGCAAGCCAGAGGCGAACAGCGGCAAGGAACCAAAACTCCATCGGTGACAGAATGGAGAAAAAACCTTGGGAGAAACCAGGCTCAGTCAGGGGGCCAGTTCTCCTCTGACCAGACGAAACCAGCAGTTCAATTCCAGGCTGCAGCAAAGTCACATTGTGCAGAGGACTCATCTGGTTCCTGTGGTCTTGTCCTGGTCTTGGCCGTCTAGGAGACAAGGTCTTTACTGGGGATCTGTATCGGGCTCATCTAATTGTCCTGGTCTCTGCTGACTTTTAGGGCTGTAGAGGTCCTCTCTAGGTGCTGATCCACCATCTGGGCAGGATACGATGGAAACAATGTATCCATTTCGCAATTCAGGAAGAAAAAACTTGGAAATGAACTGTTACAAAGTTCCTGCATAATTCCCAGGCAACACCACATGCTAGCACATGGTTACACCTTTTGAACTGCGTACTGGAACATACTGCCTGCCAGCACAGACACAAAGACCTGTTCTGATGACAAAGACAATGTGACATCTGTGGGGGGTGGTTTCAAGTGAGGTGTTGAAAAAAACGTGAACCAGGCTTACAGCTTCAGGTTCAAGAGCATTAAGCAAACAGGTCCTAGATGGAGCTTCTAAAATCAGCAGAGTTAAAGGACTTTGTGTTATAGATTAAAGGCTGCTGAGTAAGGTCATCATTCGAAACAAGCTGATTATTGTCATTTTAGCTGTTTCCTGAGATTAGTCTAAATACTATGAACACACTCCTCACAGGAAACATTCTTTAGTGCAAGAAGTGAACATAGAATGATGTTTCCAGTAATTCTGTAATCACTTATTATTTACCATGTTCAGAATGTGTTCCTGCATCAATGCATCGTGTTATAAGATTATATTTCAATGTTTATGCTCTGAAGAAAAGGGGGAAATGTTGTGACAGAGGTATTATTTGGCCACTAGAAGGCAGAAGAAACGTCTATAGGGAAAGGAGAGAGAAGAGATACACACTCGTGCATGTTATTCCAAAAGAAATAAACACCAGACTTATAAACTAATCCTCAGTTTACCTTTCAGGTAGCCAGTGTATAGTAACATTAGAATGATATTATCTAGCTCTGGTAAGAACTCTAACAGCTGCATTTTGAACCAGCTGAAGTCTGTTTAATGTGGAGATCTGACATACTCAACTCTTCCATATTATGAACATCAAGCTGACGGTGTTGTTTTTAGAGCAACACTTTTTTTTTTTCATTTCTGAAAATATATTAAATGATAATCATTATTGCCAGAAGTATAAGAAGAGTAATTGTACTGGATACTGTGATACAATTTAACTCAATTATTTAGTTTCCTGTTGCTAATATTAAAGTCACCTTTTAAACTGGTCCAGCTGGGGCTCAACACTTCGCTGTGCAACTGGCTGTTGGACTTCCTGACTGGAAGACCTCAGGCAGTACGGGTCGGCAGCAACACATCCAGCACCATCACACTGAACACTGGGGCCCCCCAAGGATGTGTGCTGAGCCCCCTCCTCTTCACTCTGCTGACCCACGACTGCACACCGTCACACAACTCCAACCTCCTTATCAAGTTTGCGGATGACACGACTGTAGTGGGTCTCATTAGCAACAGAGATGAGACAAACTACAGGAGCGAGGTGAGCCGCCTGGCCGGGTGGTGCAGTGACAACAATCTCTCTCTGAGTGATGTTTTATTAACAAGTTTCGTGAGGAGCGCGCACAGATAATTAACACGGCCAGTTCATCATCAGTAATTACACCATCTCAACAGAAAAACAGAAAATCACACACTGCTCTTCACTGAAAAACTTTAGCAGACCTAAAAATGATTCTAAATTTATTTATAGAAATAAATATGTCTGCTTGAAAGAATGAAGAATATGATGAACAAGTTGCTATAAAGAATGCATAATTAGCCTAAATAACCATTGGTATTTAACCACAGGAAGCTGAACTCCCTCCCGACCTTGCCCCCCCTCCCCTCTTTTGCCCCACGCACCTCTGAACTCTGAC